CTCTCTCTCTCTCTCTCTCTCTCTCTCTCTCTCTCTCTCTCTCTCTCTCTCTCTCTCTCTCTCTCTCTCTCTCTCTCTCTCTCTGTGTGTGTGCACGCACACATACATGCATGCATACATGATGATGAAACAATATACAGAAGATCACCATGGCCCTGTGCAAAGATGACACGAAAATGTGAAGAGAACGACCCGAGAATTCCCCCCGCCTCCCCAACCCTCGTTTTCTGAATTCTGTAGTTCCCTATGTCTGACAGAAGTGCACTCCACGGACCGGATGCGGACGTCAGACATGCGGGCTGCTCATGCCTGCCCCTGTTTGCATCAGTATCAAAGGAAATCACCTCAAAAATGATAAAAAACAAGATCCCAGTATAAGTATCTGCAACCTCCACCTGTTTCCTGTATGATGAGAGAAAGAAAAGCGCCTTCGTCATCCTCACCTCTGCCTAATGTCATCAGGATTCCACACACAAACAGTTAAATGATTTTTTTATTTCTTACTTGGTTTTCTTTTCTCCTCGGCTTTGCAAATGTTTTGTTTTGTTTTGTTTTGTTTTGTTTTGTTTTTTTGCGTTACTTCTTTCAGCTTGCTTAGAGTCGCATTCTTTGAACCAAGTACGTATGCGACGTACGTGGTTTTTTTTTTTGTTTGTTTGTTTTTTTTTTTTGGTGGGAAAGCCTTGGCTGTCGTACTTTGTTTCCGTGGTCCAAGTCTGTCAATTTTTTATTTTTTTTTTAATTCTTTTTTGGTGAATGGAATCATAATCCGTCGAGTTAGGCTCTGTGTGGTTTAAAGTTTAAATCTTAAGTCTTGGCAGAGAAGTGTTGCCTTTGATCATTTTGCAGCATTTTTTTCTTTCTTGTTTGCCTTTTTCATCTTCCCCTCTTCGCCAGTTGGAAATGAACATCTGCAATCTTTTGGCCGCCGTGTTTTCTGCATTGTAATTCTGCTCGCCGGGAAGATGCGCCCGGGGATCGCATGGATGTGGGCAATGTCCAATGATGTGATGTGAACCGCAGATGCCGGGGATGGATGGCTATCAAGCGACGAAGCTGATCCGCAGCATGGAGAATGCGACGAAGGTGCCGCACGTTCCTGTCTTTGCTCTCACCGCCGACATCTTGCCGGAGACGAAGCGGTATGCAAAAGAAGCAGGCATGGATGGCTATCTGATGAAACCCATTGAAGAGGATGCATTTGTTGAGAAAATGACTGGCATCTTTGGGCCCTCCGCTCAAGGAAGAAGAGCGCAGCGATAGTTGCTGCTGCGCACTCGTTTGATTTCTTGTTGTCATGTCGTGCGCAGACGAATCTTTCCTGTGCCTGTGGCCAGATGCCCCTCCTGTTTTTTTTTCCCCCCTCGTTTCGTGTGCTGTGTGGCGAGGGCCGTAGCGCAGTGACTGAAAGATGATGAAATGAAAATTTTAGTGTTCCGGCTCCGGCCGTGATTGAAAGTTTTGAAACTGTTTTATGGAATTTCAGTGAATTAAGCTCCTCCCTCTCTCTTTCTTCCTTTCGATATGTCCACTTCCGCGAGTTGTCGCCGCTGTCCGTCTCTGCTGCAAAAAACAGAACACACGTCCGCAAACAGCCCACTCCCACTCTGCTCTGCTGTCGAGCCACCCTCGCAAGAGCGTTTTCTAACTTCTTTTATTCGATTTTCTTCCCTTCGGCCTCTCATCTCACGGCAAGCGCTGACGACCGCCACAAGGTGTACTTAAAGTAAAGTACTTTTGACATAGGCGACAAAATGGGCCCAACATCTCACGACACGAGCTGACGACCGCCACAAGGTGTACTTAAAGTACTTTTGACTTCATACAAGAAACTCCTGTATGAAGTCAAAAGTACTTTAAGTACTTTGCTTGCAAAATGAAGTCAGAAATACACCTCTCACCTCTTACGAGGAGTTGCTTGCGAGTAGCTCTCTTCTACAACACTGTGTCTGCTCCAGATTGCTGCTGGCTGCTTCATTCCTGTCTTTGCGCAGCTGTTTGTCTATATTTGTCCCATCGTGCTCGTCTATTTGTCCCGTCGCCTCTGCTTATTCGTCCGTCCATCCATCCATCGCTTTACCAGCGTAACCAGCCAGTCTGGCTGCCCAGCTGTTAACCTTAGGGTCTGCGACTCTGCATCTCTCGCTGTTTGTCTTCTCCTTTCTCTCTGTGTGCAGACATTTTGCTTGTCTATCAGTCTGTCCGTCTCTCAGCGTAAGGGCCTCGCTCCACTACTCACCACATGCACAAATGACAAAAAAAATGGCCGTGGATCTTCCCATGTTCTAGGGGAAGATTCATTCTCATTCCGCACATTTGGTTAGTAGTGGAGTGAGGTTAGTAGTGGAGTGAGGCCCTTTACTCACACACCTTTTAACATCTGAGACAAACCTATCGATGTTTGTCTCCTTTTTTTTGTCTGTGTTTTTGTTTTATGCATGTGGTCCTTGCGCAGGGGCCATGCTCATCTTCTCTGTGTCGTTCCAATTTTAACGAATGTCCCAACGGACTTCTCCTTTTTTTTTCTGTTTTTTTTAAGGAAAGCTGTTTGTCTTGTGACTCTTGTCCTTTCTGACTGTGTCCAGCATTTTTTGGTTCTGTCTGTCTGTCTGTCTGTCCGTCTCAGCCCTTACTGACACATCCCTTGGCATCTGAGACAAATAGGAGGGAGGGGTCATGGG